AATTGCTTGACACCTCACTGAGTTGTAGTGCCTCTTGATTAAAAATATTAATTCTATATAAGCTACTTTTGTATATTTGACGTGAATTGGCGGGACTTGTCTGGTGATCAACACAGCTATTTTAGGTTCTGTCCTTTTTAAGACCATCTTTGGACCACGGAAATCTCAGTAATTAAAATCAACTGATAAAACAATAATAACAATAGTCCATTTTCACTCTGATCAAATGAATAACTAAGTTTTAAAAATTCAAAGCAAACTCAGGTTCTTGTCACACTTTGCTGAGTGTTTTGAGAGATAAAGAAAATCAATGCATTAATGAATAAATTTATAAGGGCGTGAGATGTAACAAGCAAAATCTGTTTTCTGAGAATTGATTCAGAATTATTAAGGGCCTTTTTACTCTGACAATTCTTGTTTGTGATATCCTGGTATAGGAATACATTCTCAACAGTCGATATGGTTAGATCTCAATAATTCATTAATTTGACATTACAAGCAATGCTAGAGAGCTAGTGCGCGCTAGAATAGTAGGGTACTTTCAGACTGCATGAACATTATGAATGTTCTTTAGAAAAATAAAAGTGGAAGCTAAAATCAATACAGGCAAAATAACAACAATTTTTCAATGTTATTCAGAAATATAGATGTGTCAGATGCCAGGGAAAGTTTGGCCTGACATTTTTTTTTAGACTGAAGTGGGAAAAAGAATTCAAATTTGTTTTTGGGTCAGACACATGCCTCTAGTGTAAAACTAATTACACTTACAACATCCTTTGCACTCTCTCAATCCCAGTGAAGTATTGCTCCTAGCAATTTTTTAAAGATCTTCCACTCAGCTGACTCATTGATGGCCAAGAGGCTTCTTTCCAGTTGGGAGGTCCTTTGAGGAATTTTCTTTAGTTATGACAGCCAGGAGACAAACCCTCGGTTCTGACAACTTTCACAATCTGGAAAAACTTTCATGGTCTGGGGATTTCAATAAAATAAACAAATTGTCCTTCTGAAAGTGTCTTGAACTGAAACCTGATTCCTCTGAAACTATTAGCGGGCTCTAATTATTTGCTTTTCTGTGTGATAAAATCCAACATTATAAACACTTCACAGATTAACTCCACAGGTATCTTGCTAAACTTAATGTTCTTTTTTGTTTTCTTGAAAATTTTGTATTTAGATCATAGTTTCAAATAATTTTCTAACTTCTTTTTAAAGATGTCACCTTCCACAGATCTGAAATTAAATGACCACACTTTAAAGTCTAAGTTCTGAAATGATACTATATTTTACAAATTTACAAAAGATTATTTTTCATCTAAATCATTTCTTTTGCTCTGCTAAATTCAATTTTACAAGGAAGTACTAGTCTTATTCAACAAAGTTAAATGACTGAACAAATATAGTGCAATTTTGAATTTGCTGCTATATCATAAATAATGGCATGGGCTGAACTGCATAAATTCCAGTTGACTTCAAAGATATTTACAAGGATTTTGGAAATCACGTGCTGTATTTTTTTCCATGCAAGTCTTAAAGTAATAGCCTAATGATAGAAAAGAATAAAATGTTCTCTGACATAATTATCGACAAACTCTGTTAAAAAGGAACTCTCCCTGGTAATACATTCCATGTCACGAAAATGCTTACACTGGGTAGTGGGACGAGGGAGGGTGTGTGGGTGCAGCTGGGTAAGAAACCAGTATATTTGCATCCTTGCATTCATGTCCTTTTTATGCAATGCACAAAAAATGGATCTAGTTTTCCACATGTTTCATTTACTTCAGCACAAAATGTGCAAGAGCTTAATTGGGTGTCCAGATTTCATTAAGTTGGAAGCACAACAGAGCTGCCCTCAAATCTGTTACTTTGCTGATTTGCAAAAGACATTTCAAAAGGAGCTTGTATTACAATATGCAGTGTAATGTTTATGTGCCTGTGTTTTACTTAAGTGGGAGCAAAAGCATAATAAGTGCAGTGTCCCAAAAATAGTATTAGGATTGGGTAAACCCTCTGATTATACTTCCTCCAGACCACAGAAAATCACATTAAGGATGGTATACATGTCCTCCTCTAAGGGAGTGAAGGACACTTAATTTCTGAATTTTCCAGTTTAAGTCTGCTCCTTTTTGTTCTCTGCCATTATGTTCTGAAAGTAGACAAGTACGCTTAAATGTTGCATTTTAAAGAACATCTACTGCAAGTGATATTTTCTGACCAAGGGAACATTCTTTACAACAGCACCCTGAAGGCTCCAAAAATGTTGAATTTTCCATTGAATGGAAAATAACACAAAAACTTGCTCCGTTAGCTCATTTCACATCAGATTGCTTCAAATGGTCATTCTGACACACTGCGATCATGTTCTGTATGGGTTGTTCCCAGCACACCCAACCTATTTTCAACTATTCACACTTCTCGTATGCATCCATTCTGCATTAATGTCCCTCTTAGCTTATCATCAGCAATACATATAGAACGCAATGTTTGTGGCTTAGAAGAGTGGGTAAAAAGAATTGTGAAAGGAAACTTGCAAGGGATGTAGAGGACAATCAGAAGAAATTTTATAGTATTATATAAAGCGAAAGCAGTGGTTAATCGTACTATTGGCCCACTGAAAGCTGAGAGTGGGGATATTGTCAATGATCATGGAGAAATAGCAGACATGCTGAACGATTAGTTTGCTTCAGCATTTGCAGCAACAAAGGAGGATAGCTTGCCAAGCTATTGCCCAAAGAAATTAACACAGGATCTGGAATACGGTCTAAATAAAATTAGCTTAAGGAACTCATCAATGATGGAGAAATTAATGGAATTGGAGAGTGACAAATCTCAGCACCTAATGGTTTCCATTCATGGGTGTTCAAAGGAGGTCGGAGAGAACATTGCAAATGCCCTAACTATAATCTTTCAGAGCTTCCTGGATTCCAGAGTTCTACCTCTTGATTGGAAATTTGTTAATATCAATCCACTCCTTAATAAGGGTGACAGAGGGAAACTAAAAAATTGCTGACCAGTCAGCCTAACATTTGTGGTGGGGAAATTATTGGAGTCTCTAAGCAAGGATGGGGAAACTGATCACCTTGAAATATTTCGGTTAACCATGGAGAGTCAGCATAGATTCATGAATGGCAGATCATGCCTGACAAACCTCATAGATTATTTTGAAGAGGTTACAAAGGTGGTGAACAGAGTAAATTAATGGGTGTTATTTATGTGGACTACCAGAAGCTATTGATAAAGTCCCATACAAGAGACTGTTAGCTAAGGTGGACACCCATGAAAGTGAGGGCAAATTACTGATATGAAAAGTAAATTGGTTAAATGGCAGGAAACAGGGAGTTGGAATAACAGGAAGTACTCAATTGGTGTCCTGCAGGGATCTGTGTTGGGACCTCAATTATTCATAATATTCATTAGCAACACAGATAATGGCATAAAAAGTCAAATATTCTTTGCTGACAACACAAAATTGAGCAGCATTGATGACAGTATATTGGATATTGATAGATTAGGTGAATGACAAAGCTGTGGCAGATGGATTTTAATATAAGCAAGCGTGAAGTTAACCACTATGGACCAAAAAAAGGGTAGATCATGGTATTTTTTTACCTTCCAATGAGATTTGGGGGTTCATGTGCATAATTCTTTAAAACTCCACAAACAGGTGCAGAAAATAGTCATGAAGGCTAATGGAATGCTGGCATTCATATCTAAAAGGCTGGAGTACAGGGATGCAGACATTATGCTGCAATTAAACCAAACCCTATTTAGACCCAACTTTGAGTAACATGAGCAGATCTGGCACCACACCTTAGGACGGATGGTTTTTGAAACCTGGAGGAAGTTCGACAAAGGTTTACAAGGATGATACCTTGACATTAGGATTCAAGTTATGAGGAGAAATTAGACAAATTAGGCCTTTATTCTCTAGAATTTCAAAAGTTAGGGGGTGATCTAATCGAGGTCTTCAGGATATTAACAGGAAATTCAGGGTGGATAAAGATGAACTATTTCGACTAGTTGAAGATTCTAGAACCAGGGGGTATAGTTTAAGAATGAGGTCCAGGCCATACAGGAGAGATGTTAGAAAAAACTTTAACATGCAAAGAGCAATGGAGGTTTGTAACACTGTTCCTCAACCGGTGATCAATGATAACTGAATTGTTAAAATTAAGTCTGAGATAGACAATTTTTTTATTAAGTAAGGGTATTAAGGGTTATGGATCCAAGGCAGTATTTGGAGTTAGGACATAGATCAGCCATGAATCAACCTGAGGGCCTACATGACGTACTCCTGTTCCTATGATTCATTTTTCCTCCCTCTCTTGGCACTGTCTCTACATTTTCTACTTATTTACTGGTGCATCAGAAACTTCCCCCTATCATCAGCATAAATACCTCCATTTCCCAGCTGCTTTCAGCTCTAAGGGTGACTAGACTCAAAATGTTAACTCCATTTTTCCCTTCACAGATGTTGCCAGACCTGCAGTTCTCCAGCACTTTCTGTTTTTATAAGATATCAAAGAAAGATGAATTGAATAGTTTTGGAGAGAGTGCAGAAAAGGTGGATGAGAATGTTTCTAGGAATAGTAACTTCAGTTATGAAGATATTAGAGAAATTGGACATGACGGGCTGAATGGCCTTCTTTTATACCGTATGTGACCCCATATCACTTCTGTTGCTATTCTGTATGAACACATAAAAACATTTGCACACAATAATGTGGCAGCCCATGAAATTTGCAATAACAATGTGTAGAGCTGGATGAGCACAGCAGGCCACGCAGCATCAGAGGAGCAGTAAAGCTGACATTTCGGGTGTGGACCCTTCTCCACAAATTTGCAACTTTGTCACCAGTTGCAGCATTACCTTCTGCCTGTATCAATGATGGCAGCCCCTCGTTTCAAAAGGGCACAATGGAGACAACACGCATGCGCCTGATGAAAGGCCAGCGGCTGTTTGAGCCTGTGCATGCGCGTCCGGCGTCATTTCCGGCGTGGGAGTGGGTGGAGAGAGCAGTGCGGGTCCCGGATGGGAGTTGAGCCGCTGGTTTAACTCGTCGAGTCCCGGTTGCGGTGAGAGGAAGAGGGAAAGGGGGATGGTGGCAGTGGCGGAGAGCGCAGCAAAATCGCTGGAGACTGCGGGCGAGAGGAACGCTGAACGAAAACGGGTAATTGTTTGTCTTTAAAAATAACATAAACAAGCGGGTGAAGTGACAGCGGCAGTGAAGGGGGTGGGATCTCACCTTCCCCTCCCTCCCTCCGCAGGCTGCTGCAGTCCCGCAGGCCGCGCCACCAACCTTCATCCCTCATAAACTTTCCGCTCACCGCTGATCCGACCCAAACCCAGCCCTCCTGGGGACTGGGCAGTGACCGGATCTGAGCCCGTGCAGTCCGTTGGCCTGACTTATTGTGTCGGAAAGCCTTTGCTGCAAATGCAGAGTTTTTTTATTTTAAAAAGTAGGTTTATTTACCTGTCCTTTTTAATTAGAAAAAGGAAATAAATGAATGGCAGCGTTTCAGAGTCTGTCGGGTCGGTTTAAATGCCTGAGGTTTGGGGTGAGTAAGGGGCTGCTGCTGCTGAATTGAAGTAATGGTGCAAAGTTTTATGTGGCGATAGTAAGTTGCCCTGCTCTCCTCGCCATTGTTATTTGAAGTGCATTGACGCAGTTTTTTTTACTCGAATTGGGGATGGTGAATCAATCCTGTGACTCCTGAGGTCACTCAGTCCTGTGATGTCACAGCAGCTCCCCTTAGATCAGGCAAAGATACTGTAACTGCCATCAAAGCATCACAATTCCAAGTGGTTTTAACTGTTGGAATGCAGGGGTGTCTCTTTGCCTTCTAAATACCAAAAAATCGTGGTGAGTTTCACTTTGAGCCTACCCATTAGCAGTTAGTTTATCAGTCTTCTGAGTTTGTGGCCACTGTTAAAGGTGCCACTTTCTAATTGCAGTCTCGCTGCTCAGTTGCAGTCACATAACGATCTCTCTTCAATTTACTAGATTCTGGGCCAATGGTAAGGATGGATGGACTGAGGATTTGGCAGGTCTTGACTTATGCAGTAGTGTTGATGTAATATTTGTCGCTGTTAGGGAAATGATTGCTGCTGTGCCATTATTCAGTGTAATATTACAAAGTCCGTTGTGAAAAGGTGTTGTTAGGGCATTTTCATGATTGTTAAAGATTTATAAGATTTGTTTTGTTGAGGAGGGGAGGGCACCATACTTGAGTGAGGGTTGACCTAGTGGCAAGCTGTGGAAAATGTCAGGAGGTAAGTGTGTGAATACAGCCCAACTTCTGCCTAGCAAGCAACATAGAGAGAGTTGGACCAGTTTTTTGAAAACTTATAAATACATGTTTTCACACAGCAGAGACTCCTAACTTTGTCAATTGACTTTGGAACTTCTCAGTTGTCAAAAATATGGCATGACCACTTGTTAAGTGTCAGATTTGCAAGCATCTTTATTGCAGTAAAGGATTGAAGCAGTAATTTGAGCTAAACCATCTTTCCTCTACTGTTAATAAATATATTGCAATATTTCATTGAGAAATATTTGTTAAAAGGTAATTCAATTTTTAAAATCCTTATACATTTATTTTTTCCTCTTTCCCGACTCCTCATCTTACTCGTTATATCTTAAACTTCTGTCCCTGACCCAAAAGTTCACTTTTTAAGTTTCACTCTAATACAGTTGTAAAAATAAAATCCCACTTTGTTCGGTTGCTGTCTTCATGCTATATTTTTCATACTCTTATACTGAACTGGAACAATTGTAACGCTGGATATGTTATGTAAGTTGAAATGATTTCATCGACTGCTTCTGCAGTGCTTGAAGCTTTTGAGATTCTAAGCTGAGTGCTTTGACGAATGCTGGTTCTGCTCAAACTCTGAGTCCTGGCCAGCCATTTTTGGGAATGGAACATAATATCCACTGTTCCTAAAAATCAGACCTATTAAACTAGGTGAGTATAAGCAGCTTTATCTTGATATTTGTGTTGAATATCAACTGTAAATATGAGAATTGAAAACTATTAGAAGACATCAGACCATAGATATAGGAACAGAATTAAGCCATTCATTTCATTAGATCTGTTCTGCCTTTTGATCATGGCTGGTATGTTTCTCAACCCCGTTCTCCTGCATTCTCCCCATAATCTTTGATTCCCTTACTAATCAGGAATCTTTCTATCTCGTCTTAAATAAACTCCATGATTTGGCCTCCACAGCCTTCTGTGCCATTGAGTTCCACAGATTTAACATCTTTTCGTTGAAGAAATTCCTCCTCATCTCAGTTCTGAAGAGTCTTTCTCATTCTTGAAGCTGTGCCCTCAGGACAGAGTCAATTCTACTCGTGGAAACGTATTCTCTGCGTCCACACTATCCAGGCCCATCAGTATTTTAAGTTTCAATAAGACCCCCCATCAAATACTGATCCAGAGTCCTCAATCACTCTTCATATTACAAGTCCAGCATCCCCAGAATCATTCTTATAAGCCTCTGGATTTCCTCCAGTGAGAACATTCCTTTGCTAAGGGGTCAAAGCTGCTTACAATATTCCAAGTGCCATTTGATCAGACCCTTATACAGTCACAACAGTTCCTGCTGTTGTATTAGAGACAAAAATCTGCAGATGCTGGAATCCAAGATAGACAAACAGGAGGCTGGAAGAACACAAGCCAGACAGCATCTGGAGGGAAGGAGCAGTTGACGTTTTGGGTATTATACTACTTCATGACTGGATATGGGGGGAGAGGTGGTAGCAGAATGCTGGTGATAGGTGGACACTGATAGTAGGTATTTGAACCTACCTTCAATGCCTCCAGAAACAATTCTCCTCTTCCTCCTCATCTGTCCAACCCCACAATACATTGTACCCCTCTACCTCTCCTTCCTCTTTTCTACCTCCTTCCTCCACCCTGTTCCCCAGTCCACTACCCTCTCACCCTCATTTCCTTCCCACACCCCTCCCACCCATGAACCTTGCAGCATCCGCTTGGGCACGCTACAGCCTGGAGGACTTGACGCTGAGTTCACCAATTTCAAATAACCTTCCCACCTTCTGACTCTCCCTTCCAGCCACCAACCGGATTCATCCCTTCCATTGACCAACCAGCTCGTACCTTCTATCAGTGTCCACTTAGCACCAGCATTCTGCTACAGCCCCTCCCCCCCCCTTTATCTGCAGCTCCCCCTACCCCCACATCCAGTCCTGAAGAAGAGTTATACCTGAAACATTGTCTGCTCCTTTCCTCCAGATGGTGCCTGGCTAGCTGTGTTGTTTCAGCCTCCTGTTTGTCTATCCTGCAGTTGTATTGTAGCCCTCTCAAAATTAATGCTGACATTACATTTGCTTTCCTAATTGCCAACTGACCCTGCATGGTAACCTTAAGTGAATCTTGAACTAGGACTCTCAAGTCCCTTGCTGTTTCAGATTTATGAAGTCTTCCCAGTTTAGAAAAGAAATAAAATTCTTCCTACCAAAGTGCATAAACTCTCACTTTCCCACATTGTATTCCATCTACCATTTCATTGCCCACTCTCCCAGCTTGTCCACATTGTTCTCCACTTCCCTGCTTCCTCAACACTACCTGTCCCTCTGTTTAGCTTTGTGAGTTCTGCAAAATTTAGCAACAATGCCGTCATTCCTTTGTCCAGTTTGTTAATATAAAATGTGTATAGTTATGATCCCAACACTGACCTCTGCAGAACTCCGCTAATCATTGGCTGCCATTCTGAAACAGACCCCTTTCATCCCCACTCTAATTTTGCCAAATATTGGATTGAGCAAAAGATGGGATATCTATTTCCTCCATCATCCTGCCTGAGAGTGCTTTTCTTTTAAAGGTATAAATTTAAGAACAGTGATTGAGAAAAGGTCATTTTGTTCCATAAAATTTCATTTCTCTCAATGTTACCATTGAGGAGGGGAAGGCAAAATGTTTGGAATGAGGGTTGACCTGGTGACAAGCTGTGAAAATGTCAAGAGGTAAGGGAGTGAATACAGCCCAATGTCTGCCTAGCACGTGCCATTGAAGGAGATGGACCAGTTTTTAAAAATTTATAAGTACATGTTTTCACACAGTTGACTTTGCAATTTCTCAGTTGTCAAAATATACAGCATGTCCACTTGTTAGGTGTTAGATTTGCATTTTCATTCCTCTCTTACATTAACATTTGCTAGTATCCAACTGCATTTTGAATGTTTTAATATCCTTGATTCTGTGCTAATTTAAAATGTTAGATTTTATGCAGAATTACGAGCACTGTTACTGCCAAGCACTCAATGATGTTTGGAAACAATGGTAGGAAAACAGAACTACTTTTATTTTTCAAGAGCCTTGACTTGAAATTGGTTTCCTCAAAAACAAACATTGAAGCATTGACTATAAAACAATTGATTCATGATTAAAGTCCACTTCAGCTGTTGCTTAAAATGGGAGAATCGTTAGTCATGCGATTCAGTGATAAATGCATTGCCCAGTATGACCTTCCTTTTAAAAGAGAATTCGAGATTTAGTTCTTAGTTTGTACTAAGCTAACTGGTCCCTGAGGTTTCTGTTCCTGACTGATGTCTTGCTGCAAAGTCTCTCTGACTGATGATCAAAAATTGGACTGGACTGGATATGGTGCTTGCAGTAGGAGAACAACCTGTCAATTGCAACCTCTGTTGGGGTCACAACGAGATTTTGGAATGTCCAATGGAATTATCAGAGTATGAGTCAGCCTGTTACGGATGTAGCAGCCATCTGTCATGATTAATGATGGTTTAAATTCCAAACTAGTTCAGGAATGTTGCTGTGCTGTAGCATTGGGAGTGTCTGAATCTAGTACTTGACAAATGTGGTGGAAGTCGCCTGATGAAGAAGACTGCAGATTATTGCATTTTGTTTTGCTTTATTTTTCCTTTTTGTCAGTGCCCTTTGACTTCCCAATATAGCATGCCTCTCATATAATGTCTCCTCTGAGTCACATTTTTTTCAGCTGGGGATATTGATGTTTGATTTTAAGCAAGATGGATTTATAAACTAATGGTCTTGAAACATCTTCAAGTGACAAAGCAACTGGAGGTTTCTGTATTTCAGTAATGTTATTTGACCGTGGTGATCAAGCTTCTATCAGGGTGAGAGTACTTTCATCTTCCTAGTTGTGGCAGATAGTTATGTAGAG